GGGGGGGGGGGCCTGCCAAAATCCGGTGTGTATTGCCCTTCATCCTAGGAGGGAGAGCAGCAGTCAGTTCACTGGGAGAAGCTGGGATGTTGCAGCTCATCTCACAGAATTGTTTAGATTGGAAAAGACCTATAAGATCACCAAGTCCAACTGCTAACCTAGCACTGCCAAGTCCACCACTAAACGATGTCCCTAAGTGCCACATCTACACCTCTTTTAAATACCTCCAGGGACAGGGACTCCACTACTTTCCTGGGCAGCCTGTTCCAAAGTTTAACAACCCTTTCAGTGAAAAAATTTTACCTAATGTCCAATCTAAGCCTCCCCTGGCACAACTTGAGGCCATTTGCTCTCATCCTATTGCTTGTTACTTGGGAAAAGAGCCCAAGACCCGCTTCACTACAGCCTTCTTTAAGGCAGTTGTAGAGAGCAATAAGGTCTTCCCTCAGCCTCCTCCAGGCTAAACAACCCCAGTTCCCTCACCAGCTTCATTGCCCTTCTCTGGACGCGCTCCAGCACCTCAATGTCCTTGTAGTGAGAGGCCCAACACTGAACCCAGCATTCGAGGTGCAGCCTCACCAGTGCCAAGTACAGGGGGGACGATTGCTTCCCTGCTCCTGCTGGTGTTACCATAGGCAGTAGCAGAGACAGCTAATTGGAAAATTCCCAGGGTTGATACCCATTAGGTGGCAGAAGAGGCACCGTCCAGGGAGGAGGGGACTTGCTGAGCATGGCATCAGGTCACACATTTGTAATTAGCAAAATAAGTTTAAGGTTATGTCTGGCTTCACTGTACATCTTGGGCTGTAACCTGAGTGTCTTTAAATACCATTGCTACACTCTGTCCTCCTCTGAAAGTTTTGGACATCTCGCTGTAAAGATAGCCTTGCAAATCTGAAAGAACCATTGCGAGCTTGTTGCTGCTTATCAGGGAGCAGTGAGGGCCAGCCACTCCAAGAGGGAAGGGGAGCCTGCAGCGGAGCACAGTATCAGGGCAGGCAAGAACAGCAGCCTCACCAACAAGGAGCCAGGATGCTAAGCATGAGTCAGGGTCAGGCCTGGGCCTTCAGGGTCAGGCATAGTCCGGTGATCACCTGGCAAGGTCTCAGTGAGGTGGCAGGTCCCAGGGCAAGCCAGGAAGCCGAGCCAGTGGCTACGGGTCAAGGTCAGGGAGGCACCAGATCAGGTGCAGACATAGGGGGCCAACAATAACGACTCTTCTTGAAAGTAGCTTCCAAGGGAAAAGGAGGAAAGGAGGGTGAGGCCCTTGCTTCTACCTTTCTTCATAACAGCTCTTATCAGTGGAAGAGCTGCCTTTGGACCTGGCAAGCTAAACTCTATAACTCAGCCAGCTAAATGTCTTGAAGGTGGGTGCACTCTGTCCCCTTTGGCATTATTTTTAGGAAAAAATCATTGTCTTATATGCAGGCTGTCCTAAAATGATCACGAGCTTTAGAGTCTGCAGGATTTTTTGATCTATTCTTTACATCTTTGAGAAGCTAACTTATTTACAGCTTTTCAGGTTTCTCTTAGTTGTGTTAAGATGAACCTAAGTAGAACACATATGGAGACTTTTCTGAAGAGTAGGTCTGATCAAAAAAGCAGCATGGAAGGAAGTTCGTTATGTCCCAGCTGGGCTGCTTTGCCAGTGCCAGCTGTGGACTGAGGTAAAATGATCATATGGGATCACAGAGGCATCGTAAGTAGGAGTCATGCAATAGAAGTGAACTGATCGTGCTAGCAAAGGCAGATATCCTTGATACCTGCATAGCAGGAAAGACCTGGAAAATTGGACAGAGTAGTTGGGAACATAGGCACTTTACATGCAGAGGTGTCTTAACAGTTAAGACAATGAACAGCTATCACATCAGCTTGTACCATGCAGTGAAACGTGAGAGGGACTGATGGCAAAGGAAAAAAAATTCAATGAAACCATACAGATGAGCAAATGTATTCTCATGGTCATTGAAGGAAATGGGCATGTAAAAAAAGAGGAAAGAATATGCGTTATACAGATTGCTGAAAAACTTACGGAATGGAGACCCTTTTTACCAGTAAAAGCATTAGCTAGAAGTTGAACTGCCTTCCTCCTTACAAGTGTTGGTCTCATTGTCTTCAGGACTGTTTATCATGTTTATCATTATCATTTTTTTTTTAGAAAATCCATTGGCTCAGAAACTCTGTTTACTTCTTTCTTTTCCTTTTCAGTGGGTCTTATATTTTCTTTTCTTAGAAAGTATTTATCTACATCTAATTCCTGACTGATTACATACATTTGTCTGTTGTCTCTTTTCAGGACTTCCAAGTTTGCTCTGGCTCTTCCCCTCTGTGCAGACTGCCACCCATTCAGCATCACTTCTTTGTTATCAGGTGCTCAAAATGAATTTTTCTTCTTAAGGTAGGCACCTCCAACATCCACAATCATAATGGATCACATAGGTTACATTATTCTTACTTTTTCTTGCAGCAGTTCTATCACATTCTAAAATTCATTCTGTTCTTGTTTTGAAGCCCATTTTCCTTATTATGAGGCTTGATCTGTCCAGAAAAAATTGTATTTGATAATAACTTTGATGGATGCAGACCTCAGTGTCATCAAATATGTTGTATATTTATGGTGAGATTTGATGATCCAACCAAACAGGACTTTGAAGCTGCTGTTGGCTGCACTTGAACATCAGATGCTTATTTAACATAATTATGAATTTATGTTGTGTCTTAGCATGAGTTGAGAAAATTGGGATTTTTGATTTTACATCTTTTTAGTATTCATTTGATAGTAACATTCAATGAAACACAGTGGCATTTTGTGAATACATAATTTTCTTCAGTTCCATTCCATTTTGCATTTTTTACTGAATCAATCTAATAATTTGGTTATTATGCATATATGTGCATGCTCATCTATAAATATTTGAAGTGGGATAAAAAGTAAATTCACACATATTGGAAGAACAATTTTAGATGTTTTTTTAATTGGATAAAGAGGGACAGAGGCAACATTTTTCCCTCAAAGCAGGTAAAGAGCAGGCTAATCCATCATTTCTGTCCAGGGGTATAACATCTGAAACCACAGTAGTAGTTTGCAATTATGCAGTAAATATGCCAATCTTATGTTTGAAAAGAAAAGTGGGGTTTTCTTCTTTTTTATTGAAGAAAGAAGATATGTATGAAATGGAATCAAATTACAGAAGTGAAATTCACCTGAAGATTTAACTGCTGCTGCTGCAAAAAAAAAAATCATCTTTTTCTATGACTGAAACTCATAATAGTGTTTCCAGAGAGCATTACATTGTTGGCGTGGTAGTAATCATACTGAAAGTTTTTTTTGTGGAAAATGAGTGAAAGAATAAAATTTCTTAATTTAAAATTGCAATTGAGTCTTCTGTAGGTGTGTTATAAATTAACTGAGAAATTTTCTGTCCCTTTTTCAAAGTAATTTCTAAGCTTCTGAAGCATTTTTTTTTAATTCAGATGAATCTACCTTTTCGTGGCCAGCAGCAAGGTTCACTATTGTGTGTTTTAAAGAGAAATGCATGCAATCAAGGAACATTTTGCAAATTAAACTGAATTGTAAAAGCCAGATTACAAAACAATACAACACTTCCTACTATAGAAGTGCAATATCAATAAAAAACAAAGGTAAAGCTAAAAATATTTAAAATCTGAGTTATTCTTGCAGCTAACACGGTATCTACAGCATTCTGAGCAGTGATGCAGGCTTTTAGCCAGAACCTTGTGTTTGCAGGATTGTATTTCACTAATTTTATCCAGATATATAAATTATTACTTCAATGGTGGCAAGCCTGTAAGCAAGTGGAATATCAGTTCTCTTTAGAGAGTTTTTCCATTCAAGTAGGATGGCAGTCTTAGCTTTTTTTAAGTCACTAATAACTGTCTCTTAATCACTGAAGTCACTGTTTACAGAGACAGACAGGTTCTTTGCATATCTAAAGAGATTAGAAAGCCCCCCAAAAAATAGTATTTCAGGTTTTAACTTGCATGTCTGTTGCTATTTGTAGCAGTTTACACGAGATCTCAAGGTCTTAGGCTTCATCATAATTTCTACATCTATATATGAAAAAAAAATACTGAGAAAGCATAGTCTGGGTAGGCATTTTTGTTCCCAGACATTTTATTTCAGTTCTGATTGATCACTAGAAAAAATAATCATGTGGCAGTTTTCTCTTATGCTCTTCACAATCTTTTACCTGTTGCTTGTGACTGAGACCTAATCAACCCTCCCCATAGTCCTTTTGGACTGACTTACATCTGCACTGTTTCAGTCTTTGTGCACAGCAGCTGCGTCAGAGCATTTGCGCTGTGGTGACAGTGATTCCCAAGTCAATACCATGTCATAGGGAACTTATTGCTTGAGGCAGTATAATAGATAGTGGAATGTTGAAAAAGGCAAACTATTTTCCCTCCAAATCATAATTAACACCTTCGGGGAAATCTTATTTCATATTAGCATATTTTTATGTTTGCATTTTTACAAATATGATTGTAAAGGGTTATTTCTTGCTCTGAGATTCTTTGATGAAAGTTGCTATAGATGTGTGGAATACTTAAATGAAGTGTTGTGCTATTGATTTGCTCCCATTGCTATGTGGAACTAAGATCAAACCAGCATGTATTCAGCAATGGAGTTATGCACATGCATCACTTGAATGGTGTAAATAGTTGACTATCAAATATCAAAGAGTGCTTACATGCCTAATATACAGTGTGCATAGAATCACCTATAGATTGGATCCCTAAGGGGAATTCTAAGTGCTATTGCCTTCGTGTGCCATTCTGCAAAATATTTCTGATGTATGGGTTTGATTTTTGGCAAAATGGTGTAATGAGCTGTAAAGTTTAGTTAATGAGGTAGAAGTGTTTCACGATTTTTTAGTTTGTTAATAGTTGAAGTGTAAATAGAGAATATGAATGCTACAAATGTAAAGGAAATGTGGTCTCTGAACACAGCGGAGTGTTTTCATACTTGTATGTCATTGTAGGTAAGTGTTGAAAAACATATGTTGAGTTTTGCCTGTTGTATCACATGTGGTTTATGTCACACCTTTGGCATTGTTTGGTTCTGGTAGATGAATTTCTTCTAGAGTCTATCAATACTTGATGCACAGAGGAAGCATCTTGCTTATGTTCTGTGCAAATGCTAGAGAAAAAATGGACCGAGATTTCATTTGATGTTTGACACACATTTTAAAGCTTCACCCTAAAATGTTACAATCAACCTGGAGTGTTTGTCTGTTCTCTACTCAGTAATCCTTTAGGCTATTTCTCTGGGATATGGAAGGTTAGTTCAAGAGCTAATGAGTATTTTCTGTACACAAAGTAAAAAAACATTGAAGATAAGAGAATTACCCCATAGTACCTAATCCAGTAACTCATGAGAGTGAGAGTCCCTGACTGCAGGAGTTTTTGTGAAATTCAGAAAGACTTGAAGAAAGTCTTCTACTGCTTTGGGGAGGTTTTGGCAAGTAGGTGATGAGGTAGAGGCCTCATGTAGTTTTTCATTAGAAATGGTTGACTAGTCTTAAAATGCTTGGCTCCAGAAGGGTATTCATAGGTTCTAGGTACGTTGGTCAGATGTTAAGTTCTGCCAAGGTTGGGTAGGCTTATCTGTTCAGCTTTAACATCATAATTTATTATGCTGGCTTATAGGAATTGTGTTTTAGGGTGTTCGACTGTCAGCAGTTACCTCTGAGAAAAGACTAATGGTGGTTTACTTTTCCCAAAATGATTCAAAGCAGAGACAGTCTATGAACTGGTTAAATATGTGGTATTAAGCCACAGATGCCAGTGATACAGAACAATGTAGTGAAACGTTAGAGAATACTTACGAGCTGAAGTTAGATTCAGAATGGAGTTGGGATTTTCACTTCTCTAAATCTTCGGGTT